ATATATTATATTTTTTATAAAATTTTAATATAATTATATCAAAATATTTTATATTTTATATTATTATATTATTACTCATTCGATCAGTTAATATTATAATGTTAATTAAATAAATTTGATTAATAAATATAATTCATTAATTAAATATCAAAAGACTTTTCTAATTGTTTTTATATTATTAATTTATTTTTTAATGATTATTTAATACTACTTATGATTATATAAACTTACCTGAAGAAGAGGTACAGCTTTCATCTCTAGCTGAAGCACTCAAACAAATGTTAGGGTGCACACACAGCTCAATAAAACAATACAAGACGGGAGAAAATATATAGGAGAAAATGGGGGAGAAACGATTTCTCGTACGCAATTAATTTCTAATTAATTATCCTTAGCACACAAAAAATTACCAATTGCCGCTGCCCACGATGCATACTCTTTTTTTCGCGTCTGGCATCTCTTCCCTTTATTTTTCTTCGCCTGATGACAGATAATAATATTCCCGATCCACAGTCGATCAATCGCGTGGTTCGACTGACTGACTGTCTGACTTAAAAGTCTGCTGATGGCTGACCTTAGCGGCGATCGTAAATTATTTTCTTGTGCGCAAGCTCTGGATTAAAGCCAGCTGAGAGGAAGTGCTACGACAACGAAGAAGCGTCGCGATAAAATTAGCGATCTACTGATAACTACAATAATGAATTAAAATCGCAAATTTAAATTTGACTCTACATATCCTTTTGTTCGATTTTATAGATTTAACACTAGATCTACGGGACCCGTAAATCAATTTGACAGGTTTCGGATTTTTTATGACCAAAATTACAGAAATTATTACTATTATTATCTAGTAATTTTTACTCACTTTTATTAATGGAATGATATGAATATATATTCAAATTCATTTCTCCTCAACTTCCTAATTTTGAAATTTTGTATGTAGTATTTACTCATTTCTTCGGATACCCCTCAAATTAACCCTTATAGAAAAGTACTGCTGCGCAGTAATATTTTGAGGCACTACTGCACTACTGCGCTACAGTAGTAATGCAGTGCGCAATAGTGCAGTAGTGTGTAAAAAAAGAAAGAGAGAGAAAAAGAGAGAAAGAGAGCAGTGTAGAGAGAGAGAGAGAGAGAGTATAGTGCAATAGTGCCTCAAAATACTACTGCGCAGTAATACTTTTCTACAAGAAAACGGATAAATCTAGTGTTAATAGACAACAAAAATCACAATATTCCTTGAATTAAACTTTTGAAAAATAAAATTTTCTGATAATATTTTTACGAGAGAGTATATATAATACATAAAAAAGATATAAAAAATAAATTGTAACTGCACTGGAACTATGCCAATTACGACCAAACATGATCAATCCCTGCTGAAAAAATTCGTTAATGTTACATAACAAATCATGTAATTAAGACAAGTAAATTCACTTAATGGATTGTTTAAAATCAGTATGTGATTTTTTAAAATCACGTAATTTGTAGAATGACATTATAATATGTTTTTTTTCTTCTATTTCTATCATTCAATTCTTTAAAATTCAATAACTATAAAATTACAGGATGGATGTAATTATTTTTAATATAATGTGATTTTTTACAATTGCGTGTTAAAAAATCATGTACTGATTTGGAACAATCTGTTATGCATGATTTATTTGTCTTAAATACATGATTTCGTTATTGTGACATAATTTTTTTTAGTAGAAATATACTCTATTGAATGTAATTAAATATTTAAAATATTTTTCGAATCTTCATAGATGCCTACACATTTATTTTCATTCTGCTAAAAAATTGAAGAAGTTTTGAAAATTGAAGACATGAATCGAGAGAAAAGAAAAGAAAAAGAACGTAAACTTGATATTTACAAATTGCTTACTTCTCTGGAGTTATAACAAACGATTACATTAATTTCGATTACATATCTAATTGAGTATAATTATAATAAACGTATTATAATTATTATTATATAGCGGAGCACTACGCAAAATAATTTTTTGTAAAGAAACATCTAATTATCTCATCGATATTTATCCAAATTATTAATAAAAATAAATTTCTCAAAAAGGATTTCTAACAAATTATTCCTATATACGCTGTATAGATAAAATTCTTAAAATAAATTATATAAAGAATTAATAATCAAAATAAGATGAATTATTTAATAATTTAAAAACTATTATAGTTGTATCGAACATTGGCTACATTAACCATTTTGTAAAATTTCCTCATTTAAATTCGTTTCATTAGTTTACAATTTAAATGTTTCTTTAAATATTTTACATAAATAAGCTTCCGAATTCAATAACATTTCTGCAAATATATAAAAAATATAATGAATAATTGCTATATTGCAGGAATTATTCTAATTATCAGAGGTGTACTCCAAAACTCGACTCTGTCAACTCCAAGTATCTTTTATTCTTGTTCAACATTCGGTGGATAAAATGATATTTGGGTTGACAGAGTCGAGTTTTGCATCTCAACATCCTAATAAAAACTTCCTACAAAACTCCAGCTTAATAATTACACACGTTTCATTTTAAAGTAATAAATTAAATATGTCACTAAACTAGCATCACGCTCTTTTATATGATCTAGAATGTTGATTTCCAATGGCAACCAATCTTCTCTCGAGGAATGATGCCTGGTATCCTCAAAGATGGCATTTAGGTGACTTGAGCATTATCGATGATGGCAAGGCATCTTCATCCCTAAATACGGAGCGAATGAGAATTAACCTATTCAGGTCGACGTAGTTCGTATATTTATCGTCAGCCCGAAAAGTAGCTTACACACCAACTAATTAATAAATGAGATTATACGTTAAAAAAAGACGTAAAAATTTTTCAGAAATGACAGATCTATACAGAGTATTCCCGATCTACGGGATCACTTCTTGTGAACAGGTAGAGCGGACTGAACTGAGTCGAAAAATATTTTATCATTTTGTAATTTTCTCAATACTTTAGGAGATATTAATTTCTAAAGATCACCAAATATCCGTGCGAACTACTTCTAATTGTAAATGTCCATTAGTTGCAGTCGCACGGGATTGCCTAGTACTCGTCGCGAAAAGTGTCAGTAGTATTATCATTCAGAGTAAAATCATTTGAACTAATGATAAAATTATATGGACTCAACGGCATTATCATTATCGAATGATTTTATTATTTGAGGCGTTTAATAAGAAAATCCTTCGGTCAGTGGTAAAATATTTTATCATTGGATGTAGTCCAATAGGAATATCATTCGATCAGTGGTATAACATTGGATTATTGTCAATAGTAATATCATTCGTATTGAAAGCTACTCATTTATAGATCCAATGATGCTTTCAATAGTATTTTACTAATGACCGGTGATAAAATCTTCAATAGTAAAATATTACCCCAGATAACCAAGAGTACGATATACCACAGTACCCGCATAAAATATCGCAATCGTACTGTTATTGTACTCCTGCGAGATGGCAGTGTACAGCATAATTGTATGGTAGCAATCACAGACTTCTATATATACTACTAAAATATATTCTATATATACTACTTAAATATATACTGCTAATTCCTTAGAACAAGCTTATGTGAAATAAACTCCGAAATTGTATGGTAGTTCTGCGCATACGTCACAAATATACCCAAAGAAATGCAGTATGGCTGTATTTTGCATCAACTATTCACATGCTAAACATATAATCTTATAAAAGTGGTGTCATCTTATAGCGAAAAATATTGTTTCCTTCGGAAGAGAAAGTGGTGTGATTTCATAGCAAAAAATTTTGTTTCTTTTGGAAGCGAAAAAGTTCAAGTAAAAAGATAAAGATATTGGAAAGACAATTGAATATTAATAAACGTATATAAAAGACGCGATCTTATTCAATTTTTTATAAATTAGAATAATTTATAATAGCTGGATTATGAGAAAATAAGTATTTGGTGATTTTAATACTGTTAAATTAGGTTAACATAGTTATGTCAAAATAGTATGCTAATGTGTGCGCATGTGCAGATAAATGTCATGCGGTCACGTGGAGCA